TGTTTTTTTCAATATCAAAAATTGTTTATTAAAATATTGCTTATTAAAATATTTATTAAAATATTTATTAAAATATTGTTTATTAAAGAGATAAAATTTTGTAATATAGGAAAACGAACTGTTCAAGTGAAAGAATATTTTTAGGCATAAGAAGGAGATACATGCCGATTCAGATAAAAACTAAAAACAGATGCCGACACTAGGCCTTGTTCAATCATGCTGACGAAAAGGGGAGGCACTCCTTTGTTAAATATCTCGGTATAACCCATTCCTACGATTCCGTCATATGCCTGAAGGGTAAAAGTCAGATCTCGTTTTACCGCTTCTGTGAATGTTTGATTTTGAACATTAACGCCAGCAATCTATAAAACAATGACATGTGTTTCTTAAAAAAATCTTTATAAAAAAAAAAAAATTATAATTGAGACTAAATCGAACTGTTTGCTTGACGACCTACATTCACTACATCAGTAAATAAGTATCCAGTCAGCTCACCAACCTCGTACGTAAGTCCGATATAAGTATCAGCTTCTATGTGAGTGTAGGATTTATTGCTATTATATTTTTTATGTGACGCTGTATAAAATAATAACAGAAAATTAGTTATTAAAGATATTAAAAATAAATTTCTCTTTATTAATTTAAAGATATATATGTTAACAATCGTTATATAAGATTAAAAATATTTATTACTTCTTTGCTTTAACATATGAATTATACCTTGTATCAAAGATAATCATTTGTACATTTAAAATAAGCACGATAAGTAAAATAAAGCACATGTAATTGTAAAATTAATTTCGTAATATTTATCTTCTCAGTGATTTTAATTTTAAAACTATTAGATTTTAAATCATCATAAAATTTATACTTGAAATATATAGATTGTCTCCTTACTCTATATTTTTACTTAAAGTCAGTCATTAAAATAAACAAAGCAATTAAAATCATTTCTATAACATATGTAATAGTAATATTATTAAACATAAATCTACTTGTATGTATGTATAAATATAAATAACATGAAATATATAACAATATAAATAATATATAACAATATAAATGTGAACATAAATAAAATAATGGAATGTCGAAAAAAATGTTACGTTATAATTTACATACAGCAAACAATGTTATCTTTGTCGCAGATAATGGATGGTACAAAAAGATTTGCGGCACCAGTGTTGAAAAGTACGTTAAACTTCTGCGGTGAGGTTCCAACTGAGATAATGCCATAGTATTGTCTGTCATAATAATGAAACAGTGGTGCCTTTGTAATCGCTTCAACCAAATCACCTTGTTGATTATCAATGACAATCGATTTTCGAATAGAGTTTTTCTTATATAATGGAATTCTTGAAGCAACACAAAAGAAATCCATTATGTTATATATTTACGTTTATTTATATATATATATAATATATTTCACAATTACATATGAATATTCGTATATTACAAATGAATAGGGTAAACCCGGCAAATACGCCGCACTGGGATTTACGCCCTAGAAGTCAGAAAAAATGGAAGGAGTACTACTCTGTTACATGCCTTTATATTAGTATTGAGTTATATTAGTATATTAGTAGTGTGTTTCGTGGTTCAGGGAGATAAAACTAATCACTCACACTGTGTTTTCGTTTATTAATATTGTTAGATTGACATATATCATTCTCACATCACGCACGCGTCGCATTGTCTTAATTTTTCGTTTCCGTTATGGATTATGTATCGCGTATTGAAGTTAGCGATTTCGCCTGGGGGAATTCGAATCCCTGAATCGCCCTTCAGACAACGCCTGGGGGTATTATCGTGTTACCCTGAGTCACCAATTAATAAATCGTGGCCGGATTTTTACGATAACGCCTCAGTACTCAGGAAATTTCCTTGAGTCGCGATTATGCATGCAACACTCTCTCGAAATTTATACACGCAGCAGACTTCCGAATTCGCGAGTGATCCGCCTTCGTACTCGGTTCCTGATGGAATGAATGTCTCCACGCAGCAACGACCCCCCACGGACCCTCGATCTTTCTTCTGATTGGTTTTAAACATGGAGACTACGCGAAGCGGCGACGACGTTTCGAACAATCACAAGCGGATTAACCCTCATACGCGCCGACCACCGCCTTGATCTGTGCCGACATCACGCTTCTGGAAGTCGTTTCTCCCTATCTGCACATGTGTTTGCGTACGTGTCAACGATTGATTTATCGGTTTATTTTGATTGATCTAATCCGACCACGATTTCGTATTGACGTGCACGCTGGTATAGAGCTCTACGCAACAAGTGAGTTATAATTTCAGCTGCTTACTGTTAATATTAATGAATTTATTGTGAGTTGAATCAATTTATCACTATAATAAGTAGCGCCATCATAAATTATATAATGTAATAAATAAATGTAATAAAAAATAAATTATATACTGTAGGGCGTGTAAAAGACCTAGTGGTTATTTCGTGATACATATGTACGTGTAGAGAAATAGTAAAGCATGTTGTATAGCAAAATACAAGTGCTTTGCTTTCGTATTCTTTGTTTAGTTTGTTGTTTTATATATCCCATCTGTTTAGAATATACGGTATTTTTAGCGAGCGGGATTTATGCCCAAAGCATACAAAATGCACAGATTGAAATCAGTGCACTAAATGCAATAAACGCATGAAATATGTACCTTTTGTCATAACACTTCTAATATATGTAGGAAGATCGTAATTATTATTTATTACTTCATATACATATTTATCATTTTTATTCCTTAATAAAACTTTATAAACGCATTTTATAAGTTATTGTGTTATTTTATGTCTTATTTATATGCATTATTTGTAAATTTTTCATGAGTCTCCCCTCCCCCTATAAGTAGCCATATATTTCACCCCTATAAGATATATGGCAAAAATGCAAGGGTTTCAAAAAGTTTATTTTTTAGTATGAAAAATTAATATTTCGGATTCCTAATATTTTTTTCATAGTAGTAGAAATTATGAAGTTTTTACTGGTATAGTTTATTTGCCTTAAACATGATAAATAGTACTTAATAAATTAAATCTCCCTTAGGTGAGGCGTGTATACCGGGTTTACCCTATATGAATATCGTACAAATTTCGGACAAATTAATTAATCATTTTTAAATTTAATCAAATTTCTTTTTATTTTTGGATATTATTTATGCTTCAACATTTCAGTAACATTAAGTAATAAATGCAATTCACTTTAATCTATTTACGCATCTAAATAATATTTCCGTTTTAAATGCGAATTTCAGTTTCCATGACGCTTATCTCATTTAAGACATGAAGATAATAAAATTTCGAGCCTCAAAGCGATGCTCAAAAGCCTTTTTCATAAGACTATCTCACACCCAAGGACATTTCTACAGTTTTATTCGAATTATCGTTAAAGTTATTTGTCACGAATCAACATTTTCACTATCTCACCTTAACAATTGCGAGTTGATCAGCTCGACGAGTGCCACGATTAACACAAAAGATCGAAACATATTTTTTGAATTTCGTAGCAATTAGAGCTAAGAATCAAGTATCAAGAACGTTTTAGAAGCGTTGTAACTCCTCTTCAAATCAGTTCACAATCGGAACGAATAACAGAAGACAAGAACAAAGCGTCAATCATTAACGTTCTCAATGCTGTTTACGAGCTTATGTGCGTGATTATATTTAGGAGTGGGTGAAAAGAAGGACAATTGAACAAGCAGAGTGTTCTAAAAACGATCTTGATTCTTTTCATTAACTAATCTCCAATAAACTTTTAAAAAATTGTGTTTCGCATTTATGCATATTTCTCATATACGCATTAGCGCGACTCGATGTATTTAAATAAATCTGAAAAGAGATATTAAAATGAGATTTTAAAATGTTGTAAATTATGTATTGTTTGTCTTGATAAGTTTACAAAAGAATAATTTAGTAACAAATAACTGAAATAATGAATTGTGAATTCTTAACCGATCGAGACAAATATTTTTTAATTTAAACGTCAAAAATTTCAAAGAAAATTGTAGAATTCGATTTTTAAAAAAGACTTCCTGAAATATGTAATAAGGGAAAGTGATCTAAATCGGACCGTATTCCAAATAGGACCTTTTTAATTTAAATGAATACGGTTAAGCAGATTTGCGTACTATTTATCATGTAAAAGTCCTTATAAAACACCGAACATGTGATAGCAGTTTGATAGTTCTATGTCATAACATTCATAAAATAGACGCAAATATGTATTTTCAGCCATCGTGCGAAAATTTTTTTAAAAAAGAAAATTCTTGTAAATCATTATTTAAAAGGTGTTAAAAATTTGAAAAGTAATTAATTTAAGATAATTAAAGAGTGTAGAATTTAAAAATATCAAGCATTTCGTGATCACTTTTGCGGTTTATTATAAAATTTGTTCCAAAGTTCGTAACGACCCGTGTCCAAATCGGACAGTACAGTAGATAACTTATAGGCCTGGTTGTAGTACTGGTGATCGGCTGACCAGATCTGATCCAAGGAATTAAATCAGTAAAATATCATGAGTCATCAGACTTAGATTAGTTGAGTTTTATTAATTTCAATTCTAATAATATAAACAGTCAGTATTTTCTTTTTCCGAAAAAAATGTTTATCTTTGACTGTCAAATTGCTCGTTTTTACTCAATACTATAAGAAAAATACATTAAAATATTTTAAAATTCTATCTAAAAATCCATAAAAATAGGAGTTTTTGATTTGAACCAGGGAATGGTCCGATTTGGAACCAATAGTTCTAAATCGGACCGGAAAAAGCGTTTTTACATTTTCCATTATAGTCTAACACAAGTGAGAGATACGTCAAAATAATCTCAAGCAAAAATGAAGGGAATTAAATAATCTTTCCAACAGCACCTTCGATTTTACGATCGAACTTTATTTACGCCTTATAGAGAGCAAAAACTATAAATAAGTCCGATTTAGACCACTCTCCCCTACCTATTATAATAATCTGGAAATTATTTTTATGATGCTAGAAGTTAAGTAACCAGAAGTTGAATTATTTGAATTAGAGTTGCTTTTTTTATAGCTGAAGCTACCTCATATAAGGATTTTCAATATCGCTGAATCTGAATGTTAAAATTAAGATTTGATTATTGAAAGAGCTATCAATTTCGCTGTTAACTTTGACAGAAATGCATGCTTTAACTGATGTCATCTAGCTGATGTCAATAGATCATTCTTACAAATCTAACTCAACATTTTTCTTTGAAATTTATTCATAAAAAAACAAATAGTCTTGACGCGGTTAAGGATTATGATCTGTATTTTTGTATAGTAAATTTTCAATTGTTCCCACTGTGTGATGAGATAGGTGATTAAGAGAAACTAGTTTTTCAAATCCAAACCAATTAAGTGGTTAGTTGAAAGAACAATTGTGGAAAAAAATGAATTAATTGAAAATAATTGTCAACAATTAAAAGGAAGAAATAATTCGAATGCAAATATGATGTGTATAGTTCGAAATCCACGTGTAAAATAAGAATTAAAAAATGACGTCAAACCGATAGGTACATATAATTTTATGTACTTACAAATATAAGATAATGAAGAGATAAATCAGAGTGAGGTGTCCGCAGAAATACGGCCCTCTGACTACGGTCAATATATTTTACTTATTCCTTCATTGCAGTTTAAACAATTTGTCCAAAAATAATTTATAATTTTTGTGTAATTATTTAAATGCGCAAAATTATATTTTTTTAAAATATTATATTAAAATTATCATTTCTTAGAAACATAAGATGTATTATCAATAACATTAACTGTGACTTAAGACAGTTTATTGCTTTAAATAAATTTACAAATGCAGAAGAAAATACATAACAATTTTTATATTTTATTAAAAAAAGAAAAGAGAAATTGTGAAATAATAGACTCAATTATATTCATAATATATGTGACGATAGGATATTATGCTGAAATAATGGGCTATATACAGGATGTTAGTTAAGTATGTTGCCATACTCAACAGAGCGATTCTTTGGTTTATTTCAAGTAAAAAAGTTCATATAAACATGTATCCTAAATGGCCTAGTTTCCGAAATAAAAAAATTTAAACGTGTAGTAATAATCTGTTTGTTTGAAAGAAATACAGCTTGAACTAGTCAAAAACTAGTCAAAAACAGAAAAACAAAAAAACAGGCTTCAGTTCTTCTGATGAAATAAAACAATTAGATAAATTGTTGAAAATGTCTGCCTTGCGGCATGATACATCCATCGAGCCTTCTTCTCAAAGATTGACGTACATGCTCAAAGATCAGAATTGAAGTCTATTTTTTATTTTGTGACTTTGACTTTAACCTTGTCACTTTGTTTACGGTTGTGCGAATGGTAACTCACGTGAAGCAAGGCATATTTATGCAGGAAGATATCTCCAACGCAATTTAGCATTTTGTCAAACATTTGCGAACATTCATCTGTATTTCGGAAACTAAGCCGTTTAGGCTGAGAAGAAAGCTCGATGAATGTATCATGGCACAAGGTGGACATTTTCAACAATTCATTTTGATTCCTAATTGTTTTATTTCATCAGAAGAACTGAAGCCTGTTTTTTTGTTTTTCTGTTTTTGACTAGTTTTGACTAATTCAAGCTGTATTTCTTTCAAATAAACAGATTATTATTACACGTTTAAATTTTTTTATTTCAGAAACTAGGCCGTTTAGGATACATGTTTACCATATATAGACTTTTTTACTTGAAATAAACCAAAGAATCGTTCTGTTGAGTACGGCAACATACTTAACTAACACCCTGTATAGTAGTTGATAACAATAATATCGCATATCTTCGTTCTAATTTTCTAAAGTATATTCCATGCGTATTTATTTAAGAACATAGAAATAAAAAGTAGGTATAAGAATCATGCATCAATGTTCTAAAGAAAGATTCTAAGAAGATTGCGGGACTTAATTATTTATTTATTACTATCATTTAATAAATCTTCTAGCATTTAAAGAAATTTCTTGAAAAAACAATACTTATTTTGCATGCGCAAATCTCACTCGGTCGTTCTTCATGTTGAACTCAGTATAAACCTGATTAAAAAACGGAACGCCCAAAACCCAAATATTCTCACTCGAATCCATCAAGGCGCTTGTACATAATGTACTATTCTCATCAAGCTACAAATTGAATACGGTATAATGTTTCTATTCAAAACCAATTTATAACTTTTGGCTATTTATTACCGTTTTAAATTGTGACATCAAAAGCGAGAAAAATATATAAAGAAAGGTAAATTATATTAAATTGTATTTTTTTAATATACATTGCAATCTATCATTTGTAAAATATACTTCAAACTTTTTATGTGTTCCAGTAATATAAATAACCATATTATTGAAATTAAATTATAATCAGAAAACGAAATAAGCTCTATGACAACTATCGAACTGAGAGAAATATAATTTTTTATTCCGAAATAAAAGGAAAGTTTTTGTATTTTGAAAATATTTTATCAAGTTTTTCCATTAAATGCAAAATGAATTGACCACCTAGAACGAAATAAATGTGGGGCAAATTATGAATACCGTTACAGTTCACCTTTAAACAAAGCTTAGTGTCAATAATCTATATACTATTGTAATCAGTAACAAATCCAGCATTTATTACTATATTTCAGTAATTTATTTAGTTTTAAAAAAGAGCTGCTATTGTCATCTAAGAAAATTGTCATCTAGTTACAATTGTTTCTTCGCCACGATAAAATGCTTCAATCTGTTCGTTAATAACTGCGATTTCCGATGCTGGTCCTGATATCCCCGGAAAACCAGTGTGGACGATAGCTTCACAGCCACATAAAATTGTATATTTCATCATTATCCTACAGCATTGACAATTAGCTGGTATATAATTTGTGGCTCATATATGTATGTAATTTAAAAAATGATCACGTACTGATCCATAATAAATTGCCAGTATCCTTTCTTGGTTACATTAACATACGTCAACGTGCCGTAATAATAAGTGGGATTGGAACCATCCAATATGCAGTCACTAGGGAAATTTCTGTAAGGATTATATATTTTTTAATATTAAATATTGTTTTTCCATATTAAAAGGACAAATTTTGTAATATGGTAAGGCAAACTTATTTTAATTTATTTTAAATGTATTTAAGTAAAAAGTATTTTTAAATATTCATAGAAGAAAGATACATGCTGATTTAAATAAAAACTAAAAACGGGGGTGCCGACACCCGGCCTTGTTCAATCATGTTAGTGAAAACGGGAGACACTCTTTTCATAGATATCGCGGGATAATCCATTCCTAAGATTCCATCGAATTTCAGAGTAGAAAAGCCGGATCCATTTCTATCGCTTCTGTGAATGTTTGATTTAGAACATTAATGCCAGCAATCTACAAAAAAAATTTATATGTGTTCCTTCAAAAAGTTTTTATAGATTATAATTGAAACTAAATCGAACTGTTGTTTGACAGCAACTTACATTCATTACAGTAGATAAATATCCA